TTGTCTTTTTCTGAGAGAGGGTCTCACTCTGCAGTTCAGGCTGGCCTTGAGCTCACTTTGTAGCCCAGGCTGGCCTGGAACTTGCAACAATCCTCCTGCCTCAGCCTCCCAAGTGCTGGAATTAGAGGCGTGCGCCACCACACCTGGCTTTACCTGATACTTGTAATCTTATTGGCTGACCATAGTTTTGTCCCACCTCATGCCCACCTTGTAATTTCCCATTTTCCCCCCATCTTGGTTTTGCTCTATAAAATCCCTGGGAAGGGCAAGGTCCTTGGCAACCCACTCGGGCCCCCTTCTGTCCCTCTCCTGGACAGAGGCTTTCTTTCCCCCAATAAATAATATTCTGCTCTTAACTTCTGTTGTTCCTAAAATTCATTCTTCGATTTTAGAGAACAGGAACTCCCCCACACATCGTTCAGGTTGGGAGTTTCTTTCCCTTGTATCGGAACCTGCACCTCTGCACCGAATCTTCACACTGCTTGTGGACATCTGGATGTCTTTTCCCTTGTTTCTTTTTTTTTTTTGAGGCAGGGTCTCACTATGCAGTTCAGACTGGCCTTGAGCCTCACTTTGTAGCCCAGGCTGACCTCCAACTTGCAGCAAGCCTCCTGCCTCAGCCTCCAAAGTGGTGGGATTTCAGGCACATGCCCCCCATCTGGCCTCACGGAAGTACTGCTGAGAGTCACTTCGTGTCAGATTATTTGAGGGGTGGTTTGAACTGTTAACATGGTCCTCTGACATTCTGCCCTTACAACACCGCTGAGCAAGGATGGTGGGCCTTTCCGTTAGAGGAGAGAAACTTCATTTTTGGAACATGTGCAAGACATGGGGGCTCCTGAAAGCCGGCTCTGTCCCGGAAGGGGGCAGGTTGGGGTCTGAGGACTGGGTGGGTAGGCTGGAGCTATCCAGCTATCCAGCTATCCAGACCCCTCTGCCCAGTCCTGGAGGGAGGGAGTCCCCTGTCTGGACAGCAGCAGCTGACTGCCCACGCTCAGTCCCGCGGGAGGGGATGAGCATGACTCAGCCGTTCCCGCCCTCCTCCTGCAGCAGGTCCTCACCGACGACCTGAAGGGTTAGACGCCAAAGTGACCCGAAGTTCCCACGAGGAACAGAGAGCGAGGAAGTCTGCCAACTCAGCTGGTTAACAAATGCCCAGGGCATTAACGAAGCCCACTTCGGTGTGTGCCCCTGCGCTGGGACCGGTCCCAGCCCCTTCCTCTCTGGCCCGTCCCCTGCTCTGCTTCCCGGCCACGAAGAAATCAGCAGTTCGCTCCCCACGCCCCTCGGCCCAGACGTCCCCACCTGGGAGCCGGCCACAGACCGGACCCTCTGCAGCCGCGGGCCTAATGAACCCGCCGGCCGGTATGCTGCGTGCGCGCACTGTGTCTGTGGCCGAGAAGCCAAGAGACGCAGGGAGGAGCGGTACGGGCTCGGGAACTTCTCCAGAGTGGATAAGTGGAAGCTGGCCGCGGCTCGGGTACGCAGTTTCTGGCAGCGGCGGGAACCTCGAGAGGGCAGCGGCCAGGCCTCCTGTGCCGTCACCTCGGCAGCAGCCAGCGAGGCCAGGGCCGAGAGGGGCGACGCCCTCGGCTGCCTCCACCCAGGGCCCGCCTGGCGGCCGGCAGGTTGGCAGTCCACCCAGATACCCCACCCGAGCGCGGGGGAGTCGCCGGCGCTGTGCGGGCCTCGCCCTCCTCCCCCGGGCCCGCCGCCCGGGATGCTCCCCAAACCGCCGCATTGCCCCCCCCAGGGCGCCCCGCTCCCCACCCACAGACCCCGGCGCTGTCCCCCCAGGGGGCCCCGCTCCCCACCCACAGACCCCGGCGCTGTCCCCCCAGGGCGCCCCGCTCCCCACCCACAGACCCCGGCGCTGTCCCCCCAG